TATAGGCAGAAAGAGGCTTAAGAGACAATAACTAAATACATGTGATTCTGAATTGGATCCTTTTGCCTAAAAAAAATTACTCAGGGCCAGCCAAGTGGCATGTTGGTTAAGAGTTGGCTTGGGACGCCAGCCCTGAGCAGCAGGGTCCCGGTTCGGATCCCACATGAGGGCCAGTGATGCTGCACCCTCTACAGCTAAGATGGTGAACAACAGCTCAACCTGGAGCTGGGCTGCCGTGAGTCACTGGCAATGGCATAGGCTGCAGTGGGGCTGCAGTGGGCTGCTGTAAAGCTACAGTGAGTGGCCGGCAGCCAGTGTGAGTGGACGGTAGCCAGCATGAACTGCCAAGAGCCGCCGTCCAGTGGCCAGTGACCAATGTGCCTCAGCCAGGAAGAGCGCAATGATAGTACCAACATGGGCCAGTGAAGCGACGTCCTCCACAACCAGACTGAAGAACAAAAGGACAGCAAGTTGTCTGTTCCCCTTCCCTGATTCCTCAATAAAATCTTTAAAAAAAAGAAAAAAAATTACTGGGACAATGGGTGACATTTGAGTGGGGCTAAGGATTAGATGCCAGTGGAGAATCTAAGTTAACTTCCCAATCTTGATAATTATATTGTAGATACGTAGGAGAATGCTCTTGTTTTTGAAAAATAAAAACTAAAAGTAATCCAGTATGAAAATTCTCTGTACTGTAATTGGAATTTTCCATTAGTTTATGAATTTTTATTATTATCTTAAAAAATATGGGTGGCCACTTAGCTCAGTTGGTTAGAGTGTGGTGCTGATAACACCAAGATTGTGGGTTCGACACCCACATGGGCCACTGTGTGCTGCGCCCTCCTTAAAAAAGAAAAAATACAATAAAATCCCCAGCACCTAGAACTGGCATGGCATTCCAAATGCTCTATAAATATTTGTTGAATAAATTAATGAATTATATAAACAACTACAACAAACACATGCTTAGAAATAGACATCCAAATATTAACAGTGGTTTTTCTGGAGAAATGGATTTAACATAGGTAATTCGGGTATTTTTTTTACTCCGTGATTTTGTTTCTTAAACTTGCTGCATCAAGCATGTATTATTAATTGCTCAATTGGTCTGCTGCTGCTACCTAGTTAAAAATAATATTTTAGAGGCACCGTAAGTCTTGTCCTTGAGTTTGTGGGTTCCAACAATTGATGTTATCAGTTACTTGGACTAGAAACTAGGCACATAGAATACCAATATTATATAGATTCATTATTACTGGGATAGAACTTCCTGGTATCTAGAATATTCTTGTTCATTACCCAGGAATCCCTCCTTTCCAGAATCATGGTCTCTGGGTAGTAGAATCAGTCATCAGCAGTGTAGTGAATACGTGATCATACAAAGGAGTTTTGTGGGGTATTTAATTCATGTTAGGGAAGGGACTGGAGAATTATTTTGGACCCAGATTTCCAGTGAACAAGACATTCATATCCCTTGGATACTACTGAATAAACATTGACAAATTCTGATTAAAAGGACCCTTTTTCTGAGTTCTGGGTGGACTGTTATCACATAATGGACATGATAATTTAATTAGGTTTTTCTTGTATTGATTATATTTTGGATTAGTGTCTCCATGATAGGATTTGTAGGCATCCTAGTTCCTTTAACAACACATTTACAAAGTCAGCTCTTAAAGTGGACAGCTTCTACATTTGGTTGCTGTCCATAACATGTTGATTTCTTTTACTTAAAACTTAAAATTTATTTATTTATTTATTTTTTTAGCTAAGCCGTCCTGCTACCTGTTGGCAGCTCAGCGGCAGCTCAGCTCAGGCCGGGAATCGAACTGGTGACCCTGTTGCTGAGAGCTCGCCCTCTTGAGTGAGCTCTTAACCAACTGAGCCACTTGGCCAGCCCTTATATTTTAATAGGTAATATATTCACATAGTCAAAATGCAAAAGGTACAATGAGGTATATGGTGAAAAGCTCCCTCATCTCTGTCTCCTAACCATCCAGGTTCCCTCCCAAGGGGTAACTGCTATTATCAGATTTCCTACGTATCAGGAAGATATCCATGCACATGTGCCGGTACGCACACACACCATTTTTTACCCTATATAATACTTCACATACTGTTCTGTACCTTGCTTTTTTCACCAAAAATCTACCTTGGAGGTAATTTTATATCAGTATATAAAGAGCCTCTTCATTCTTTTCTTTTGTGTGTGTGTGTGTGTGTGTATGGTATTCTACTGCATGAATGTACCATCATTTTTTAAAGTCGTCTCCTACTAATGGACATTAAGATGGCTTCCACACTTTCAGTATTATGCAAAGCTCCATGCGTCTAAGTCATTTTGCACATAAGCAAATATATTTTTAGGATGAATTCCTAGCAGTGTAATTGCTAGGTCAAAGGTATGTGCATTTCTTATAAATTATAATATATTGGCAAATTGCCTCCCTTAGAGATTGTATGAGAGCCTGAGTATTAACAAGCTTCTGTATGTTGCCTATCTGGTTATGAAAAATGGGTAAGTCACAAGAGTTTTAAAGCACTTTTTCCTTCTGTGACTGAGGTTGAGCATCCTTTCATGTTTACTCCCTTTCCTGTTTAGTTGGTATAGCCACTGCTCATGTTTCTATTGAGTTTATTTGTAGAAGCACTTTATATGTTAGGAAAATTAACCCTTTTCTGTAATACGAATTATAGATATTTTATACCAAATTGGAGTATGTCTTTCAACTTTCATTTATGATATTTTTTGCCTTGAGAGCACAAGCTCTCATACCAGACTGCATGGATTTGAATCCTGGCTCTGCCACTCACCACCAGCCACATGACCTTCAGCAAGTTACTTAACCTCTTCATGACTCAATTCATCAGTGAACTGGTAATAGTAACAGTACCTACCACACAGGGTTGTTGTAATTAAAAGAATGAATATATGGAAAGGGCTTAGAAAATATGTGGCACATGACAGGAATCATAAAAGTATTGCTTATTTTTTTATGTTGTCAAATTTAATGTTGATTCATTTTAGATGCCATTTCAAAGAAAAACTTTTATTTGCCTTAGCTACCAATTCTGGGGAAAAAAGAATTATTTTAACTTTTGCTGGTAATACACACTATTTAGATACCAAGCTATCCTAATAGAGGGTGCTCAATCCATAGGAGTGTAGACCAAGCAGTGAGGTGCTTTACAGTCATCACATTTACTCCTCACAACCTTATCATGATCCTCCTTTTACCTATGAGGAAACTGAGGCTCAGAGATGCCAAATACTTCATCTAAGACCCAGCTTCCTTTGTGCATTGATTTGCAAATGTTCTTTAATCTTTTTTCTCAGGCTTGCCTGTTGCAGTTCCCCAAGGCATATCCGGTGCCTATCCTACTGTTCCCTCAATGGATATTCAATAAGGCCCTGGCTGGTGTTTGCCATTCATTCACTCAGCAAGCCTCCAGCCAACTCCGACTTTCTCCAGTGACACCAGCTCTTCATTTTAGAATTCGGTTTGGCTCCTCTCACAGAGTTCAATCCTGCAGATTCTCCCTCCTCTGAAAGGTGTCTCCCGTCTACCCCTCCCATCCCAGGTGTCACCACACTGGTTCAGCCCTGACTACTTTTCACAGGGACTGTTTGTGTTGCAATAAGCTCCTGACTAGTGTCCTAGCTGACTTCCACCATCTTTCCTCTCCAATCTCATCTAAGTGCTGCCTAGGTGATTTCCCTAAGACACAGCTCTAATCCCCAACTCTCAAACCGTCAGAGGCTCCCTCCGCCTGTTCCTTTCCCTGACATTTGACCCAGCCTACCTTGCTAGTTTTGCTTCCAAGACTCCCCTCCCATCCAGGCAAAAGGAATGCCTCACTATTCCTGGAACAGGCTTCCAATCGAGTTGTTTGTTCAGCTTAGGATTTCTCTGCCCTCTCAGGCTGCTCAAGTTTCATGAAGCTGTCCTTTATTCTGATTATATTCACTTCTCTCGTTTCCCTCACCATCTCCCTGCCACTCCACACCTTGCATTTGTTTGTAAACTCCTTCAGGGTGGAAATTCTACCTTCTTTGTTATTGATTAAAATGCTTTCACACACAGGTATAGTTGATAAACCCCACAACCTGTTTTCCAATAGGTCCGGCCACTCACAGGGGCCTGGGCTTAACAAGGCATACGGTGCACCAGGCCTGTTTGCGGCTAAACCAAGCCCTGTCCTATTTGAACCCAGCTCTCTTCACAAAACTGTCACTTCTGGTCAAGTGCCCATCACGGGCTTCCATTTTCCTTTTAGAAGATCTGATTGAAGTTAGCGAATACCTGGAACAGGCACAGCAAACAGATTATTCTGGAAATATTGGTTATATGAACAAATGGCGCTGGAAAGAACATCAGAACGTTAGATCAACTTCCTTGTTTTAACATAAGAAATCAAGGCACACAAAGGGAAGATGCTCACCCTAGGTCACACAAGCAAGTAGGAAACAGAACTAGACCTAGAAGCGAGGCCTCCGGACTGCAGTTCTGAGCAAGCTCCCCTGCACCTTGAAGCCACACAGACCTAGGGTCACCAGCCTCTGCTACCTGAGGTCATTGCCGAAGAGACATCACCACCTGTTCACTTGTTCCTTTTTCTTTCCCTCATCTCAGAGCCTCCTTCACCTTTCCCACCACACAATATTTCCTTCTCCCCAAGTCTCAGTTTTGAAGACAGTAGCCCGGAGCGGCGAGAGAGCTTCTACAGACTGGATCAATCGAATGCGGAGAGAGAAGGTAGCCAGTACTGGAGTAGAGTAGCCACAGCTCCGGAGCGGACCGCCTAGGAGATTCTGGGGTCGGAAGGCAGCCTCCGGCCCCGCCCCTGCTCCGCCCCCAAAACACGCCTGCTGACAGACAGCCTACCACCAGGCCTGGGCGGAGCCGAACCCCCCCAATCTCCGCCCTCTCCGTAAGATCCACCCTATTGGCGTAAATAGTCAGAAGCCGCGTTCAATGAGAAGGAGGGGGCGGCTGCCATGGCCCTATCCGCTGCGACAACACAAAAGCGGACGCAACTCACTGGTGGACACTGTATCGTGGTCTTTCCGGGTCCTTACACGTTTTGCAACTACTGCAGAGCCTGGGCCCGAGGGAGAGGCGAAAAGGACCCTCTTCTAAACGAGTAAGTTTGTGCCCGCTAAGGTGAGCGTTGGTGTCGGTCCAGGGGCTGCTGCTGCTTCCCGCACAGAGCTCGGGGTGCAACAGGGGCGTGGGGCGAAGGGGCGGGGAGGAGCCGAGCACGTGGAACACCGGCCTGATCCTGGCGTGGATGGGGGGACTGGGTCGCCGGGCTCCGAGTGTACGAAATTCGTGGGCGCGTGAAGCCGGGTTTATCCTGTCGGGTCGGTTTTGCAGCCGCAAACACTGGGGTAGGGAGACCGCGAGTGCCGCCGCTCAAGTGGCTGACCCGAAGGAGCGGTTTTTTCTAAACCCTAATGCTGAACGTGCCACACAACACTTGCCAGTGACTAGACTGCGGGCCCTTGGAGGCGGTTTCCCAGAAAGCTCAGATTGTGGTTAAATTGTTCAGACAGGTCAGCGTAACAATAACGCAGGTTGAAAGCTTACTGAGTTCTAGGCACTCTGTTAAGTGCTTTGCAAACATTAGCTAAGTTTTCCACGCACCTGCCTTGTGAGGTAGGTACTACTACCTTTGTCAGACGCGGCAAGAGGCCCAGTGAGATTGTCGCTTACCCAAGGTAACGCACAGATTAGTAGATGGTGGAGTTCCGAGTTAAACCCAAGCTTTCCTAGTTAACCTCCACACCGAGTTGTTAGCGGGAAAGCCACTTTTTCCACACTGGTACTGGCATGTCCGGGAAGCCTCGTCGTCTCCCCAGTTAACCTCAGAAACCATGATACCCCCTTCCCCTTGATGGGTGTGATTCGTCGACAGACATTGTCTTGTGAATCAAAGAGCAAGAAGGAAAGTAAATTGATGCGACAACTTCCTAGAGGAAACAAAATTCCCAAGCCCCAAACTCTAGTTTTAAATAACAGTGGAAATTATAATTAAAATATAAGGGGGTGTCCTGTAAGTCACCAAGCCCAGGGGCCAGAGCAGACACTACTGGTGTCTTTCTGGGCACGATGCTTACTTAGCCCTCTAAGCCCTCATTCGTAAAGTAGAGTTAAAAAAAAATAGCAACTCACGGTGGGCACGGCAAGCTTCTGGTAGAGGCCATTTTGTATTCGGTTTTACAAATCAGTCGCTTCAGCATTTCCATGTTACAGTCCAGCGGTCTCTGTAATCTTAATTCTTTTGTTGGATATTTACAGTGTTTCTCACTTTAACTATTAGTACAGCTGTACTACATCGTTTCTGGTTTTGAGATAGAATTCACCGTCTTAACGTGTACAATTCGGTGGGTTTTGTAGCATATTCGCAAGATGGTGCGACCATCGTGTGACATCTCGTACTCCAGACCATTTTCATCACTCCAAAAAGAAATCTTGTGACCCCCGTGCTGCCCAGGTGCCTCGGAGCAGTGCGTTGCTGGGCTCCAGCCCAGGCCCCCCACTTCTGTGGTAGGCAGGATGTCGAGGCCCAGCTGCCCTGCCGCCCAACCTGAGGGTTTGGGTGGGGCAAGTGGAGCCTCTCGCCCACGCTGAATTTCAATCTTGGGCGGAGTTCTGGGCCTACCTCTCTGGGTTAGAGCAAGTGGACCAACCAGAGCCCGAGGTGTGTGCTCCCACCGATGCTTCCACACTCAGAACCCGGAAGGGAGGCTGCCTGCAACCCCACGTGGCCCCCGTTGACCCCATCCCGCAAGCCTCGGGCCTTTTCCAGGCCTACACCTTCGGAATTTTGTGGGCAGGCCTGGAATGGCTACTTGGGGCATGGGAGGGGCAGGTTATCCAGGAAACTAGGGCTCGCAAAACAAAAGCACTTTGGAGAGCCAAGCCAAATCTTTGCCGCTCCTGTGAGGAAAACTGCCAGACTGTGAGGCAAAGCCTATCTCCTGATGAGATCCACGAGTAGGTCTCTGTAGAAGACCCCCAGGTTTGAAACAAGTACGAGGAACTGCACAGGTGTTGGCCGAACTTCAGGATTATCGACAACTGGAGTTTGAAAGACTCGTGCAGCCAAAGGAACCGAACCTTTGAAAGCTCATGGAACCATTGTAAAAATGAAATGAAATGACCTCGAATCAACATTAACAGCAAGGAATGGAGAAGCTAAGCAGTTAACTGAATTAGAAAGGACAAGTCAGCAAATTGATGGACATGTTATTTCACTGGCGGAACCCAGTTAGAGAGTTACGGTGGATGCTACCCAAACAACTTGCATCTGGAGGAAACTATTAGCAGATTTGAAAAGCAGAAAATAAAAGATATAAAGTCTATATTTTCAGAATTTATCACTATTGAAATGTTATTCACAGCAAAGCTTTAGAGGTGTGTTCTGCTGTCTACCAAAATATACAAAAGATTGATGAGAAAGAAGATCTAGTGGTTTTTTAGAAGCTCTAGGTATCCGCCAGAATATCCATCTCTTTTAGATGTAAGAGCACGTTCAAAGTTGCCTTTTCAGAGATCACTGTCAATAAGAGGGTATCTGGACCAGAATAGGTGTCCAATTGTCATCTAAGAAAGGATGGACAAGCAGAAGATGAAGAGTTAGATATTAAAGAAGAAGAAAATTAATTTTCCTAAGTGTACTTCTCATTTTCATTTTCATCTTAAAATGACTCAGAATCTGGGATTACTATATTGTAAAACTTTATACTGGCTTGCTATGTTAAACCTCAAAATGAAATGCTAACTGAAAATAGAGAAAAAAAATTGAAGGAAATTTATGCTGACCCAAAATGAAGGTTTTAAAAATATTACACCTAGTCATTTCAACCTCCTTCCTAGTACTATGTGATCTTTTTTATATGACACCACCCGTGTTTTTGGATTTTAAAGTACTTAATGCACTGTTCTTTGCTGGGAGTGCTATAGTAAGTAGTAAGTAGAGTAAGTAGATAACAAAAACTATAAAAGATCTACCAACTCCACTTAGCTTCTTTTAGGTTGACTCCAGAAAAGGATCTTATCTAGTCATTCTGATTAAATACAAATACAATTTCATGAAGCTTTTAGTGAAAAGACAAGTTTTCCTTTTTTAAGCTTTTACTGAAACAAAGCATCATTTGATTTGTAAATTTACCTTTCAACAAGTGTATAACCACACAGAATAAATATGACACCAATATATCAGTGTTTTACAAATGCATAAAGCATACATTTTAGTTTAAATAAAAGTCACATTAACCTGATTCTGGTTTTAAAACAAAACTGGTGTCATACTAAAGTGTTATATATGGTACTACAGCTTTTGGAAAGCTAGTGATTTGGTGGAACGTTGCCTAAGAAAACAAACAGGTACACATGGAACATCATAAATCATTTAAAATTCTATAAAAATTTTACCAAGCTACCACCTAGGCAATAAAAAGGTATGTGTAACTAGTTACTCTTATTCCTGAAAATATAAAACAATTTAATCAGAGCATTTATCAACTCATTTGGGATAACTGAAAAAAACAATTCTTCATAACAGAAAAATAGAGACTGTCAAGAAGCTTTAAAAAAAAAAGGACCTTTGTACTACTTAGTCACTCCTGATTCTCGACCTCCTCTCGTCCCAGCCCCTGAAAAACGTGTGTGCACACGCGCACCTCTCTATTCCTCTATTTCTCTCTCTCTCTCCTCCTACTCCTCCCCCCGCCCCCTCCCCCCCAAATTTGTCTATTCTGGAGATTTCATATACACTGAATCATACAATTTTATGTCTGACTTCGTTCACTTAGCATAAGGTTTTCAAGGTTCATCCACGTAGCATGTGTCAGTACTTCATTCTTTTTTTTTTTAAGATTGTTTTATTGGGGAATTGGGGGGAGGGGAACAGACAAGTTGCTGTCCTTTTGCTCTTCAGTCTAGTTGTGGAGGACGTCGCTTCACTTGCCCATGTTGGTATGATCATTGTGCTCTTCCCAGGTGAGGCAATCGGTCGCTGGTCATTGGTCGGCCACTCACAGCGGCTCCGAGCAGCTCACACTGGCTGCTGGCCGCTCACGCTGGCTGCCAGCCACTCACGTAGCTCACGGCAGCCCACTGCAGCCCTGCTGCAACCTACGCCGTCACCAGCTCTAGGTCAAGCTGTTGTTCATCATCTTAGCTGTAGAGGGCACAGCGTCACTGGCCCTCAATGTGGGATCCGAAGCACAGCCCTGCTGCTCAGAGCTGGTGCTCCCAAGCGAGCTCTTAACCAGCTGAGCCACTCCACTGGCCCAGTACTTCATTCTTTTTATGGCTGAATAACATTTTGTTGTATGATTGTACCACTTTTTTTTTATCCATTCATCAGCTGATGGAAATATGGGTTGTTTCCACTTTTAGGCAATTATGCATAATGTTGCTATGAATGTTGCTGTCCAAAGTTTTGTGTGGCCATATGTTTTCATTTCTGCTGGGTTTTACTGGGTCACCTTATGGTAACCCTTTCTTGAGGAGCTGCCAAACTGTTTCCAAAATGGCTGTGGCATTTTATTTTCCCACCTGGAAATCAAGGAATTTGTTACAGAATTTGTGAAATGTTTGGTTAAGTATTATACTCACTAAATTTCTCTTCTTTTATATTAAAGTTGCCCCAACCGACAATCATAGGTTGACACGGAAGTGGTTGAATAAATGGTGATTTCTGGAATGTAGGTCCAGACTTCTAGGGCTCTGTTTGATGCTAACAGGCACGCTGCACTCAAAAGTAGAAGTTGGGAAATAAAAGCAAGTAGGTTTCTAATCTGGCCTTTGGTTGCATTCAGCCCTAGACATTTTTTTCTAATTTTGTTGTGGCATTTGAATGTGGTTTTAAAATGTGTTCAGTAAGATATCATTAGTGTCTCCAGTGAGTGGGGAGAAAATCACCAGGCATTGAGAAAACCTGAAACTCACAGCAACTGGTCCGTGGACCACAGTTCAATCTTTTTAAGAGCTAATGGGATTCCAGGTGTTAAAACTTGTGATGTTTTGATGATTAAATGATAGATTCAGGCTATACAAGATAAGCTTTGAAAAAGCCACTCGAAATAGAAGTGCTTTTATCTCACTATGTCAAAAACAAACAAACATATGCACATCCTTCCCTTTAACAGCTAGTGTACTTCAGAAGCTAAAACACTCTTTAGAAAGCATATTGAGAAGTCATCCATACTGACCCCTGATTAATTAACGTTCATAGTTTTCCCTGCTTAATACTAAAACTGCATAGGAGAAAGTGATTACTATTAACTGTTCTCTGTAAATAGGATGTGTGTAGATTGAAAGAAAAATAATATACTCTGGTATTACATGGTAAGAAAAAGAAAAAAGAATAAGAGAGCTCTCACGCCAGGCTCAAATTGTTGTCTTAAAGTAATTGTGAGAGTCTGTCAGCACCTCACACAGTGACCCAGGGAATGGAGGTTAGCAGGTTGTCAGGCCAGGTGTTGACAGTGTGGTAAGAGCACTGCAGCCAGAGAAGTGGCTACAGTCGCATTGGATTTTATCCATGTCTCTCTCCACCTGGAGGCAGCCCTTTACAGGTGAGACTTGGTTTGTGTGGTGGTTTTGATGATAATCCAGGATGGGCCATCCTTTTGCCTAGTTCTGAGCATGAAGGAACTATTAAGCGAATAGAAAAATGCATGCACACACATTTGCATGTAATTTTCTTTTTTTTTCTCTTATAGGAGCAGAAATGCACAAAGGCAGCTGGAAAAGCAGAAGACATGGGAGAAGGAACCAGCGGCAGAACTCTAGGTTCAGACAGCACGTTTCTAACGAGAGGCAAGTGCGGTGTCATTCTAGCATCGTCCGGCACCCTCACATGCACGTGAATCCCTGGAGGGCTTGTCACAAGACAGGGTCTGAGAGGGGCCCAGTGAGAGTCTGCGTGTCTAACAAAATCCCAGACTTGACCAATGTTGTAGAAAGATCAGGACAGTGCCCAATGTTTGTATGTTTTGAAAGGAGAACTATGAATATTTTGGGGGCCCCAGGCCTTCCCACAGGGTCACAATGTGTAGCAAAATGTGATCTGTGTAAGAAGAGTTTCAATTCAGCTCTGGCAGAGTCACGTGGAAACACGCTGGACAGACACCTTCTGGGCTCCATGTGGAAAGAATGGAGCAGCAGTCCTTGGAATAGCAGGTCTTAGACTAGAAACATAGACATTTGTCATGACACTTAATCCTTCCTTCCTTCCTTCTGCTGCTGATCACAGATGAGCTGCCTCAGGAAGCCCTGGGCCATAAAAAGGGAGAATAAATTTTCTCTGAAACCATGCATAGTTAGTATTTATAGACAAAAGAGAAAGTTCTTGTATTCCTTCAACCTAGTTTTGCAGTTTGTACTCCTTTTGGTGTGAGAGGAGGGGAGTTCTTAATTTTTTTTTTTTTTAAGATTTTTGTTGGGGAATTGGGGGAAGGGAACAGTGCTGGGGAATTGGGGGAATGGGGGAAGAGGAACAGACAAGTTGCTGTCGTTTTGTTCTTCAATCTAGTTGTGGAGGATGTTGCTTCACTGGTCCAAGTTGGCACCATCATTGCGCTCTTCTCTGGTGAGGCAGATCAGTCGCCGGCTTCTGGATGGGCACTCACTGCAGCTGCTGGCCGCTCACGCTGGCTGCTGGCTACATACGGTAGCCCATGGCAACCCACTGCCACAGGGAGTGCAGCCTACGCCGTCACCGGCGACTCATGGCGCCGTCACCGGCGACTCATGGCGCCGTCGCCGGCGACTCATGGCAGCCCAGCTCCAGGTTGAGCTGTCGTTCAGCATCTTAGCTGTGGAGGGCAGTGTCACTGGCCCTCATATGTGGGATCCGAACCGGGGCCCTCTGGCATCCCAAGCGAGTTCTTAACCATCGCGCCACTCGGCCGGCCCGGGAGTTCTTAATTTTAAAGAGGATTTTATCAGGATTCTAAAATTAGGTCTTTTGTTATATCATTGTATCTTTTAGCCTATAATTGCCGTAGAAGCTGCTTGTTGCTTTGCAAAATGTTTAAACCATGGTTCTATCCCAGTATTACTGAGCAGATCCCCTCTGTGCCCTGAACCCCAATTTCTCCATCTGTGAGGTTGGTTAGCCAAGTAAAATTTAAACTCTTTGTACTGCTGAATCTAATAAAGAATGAAATTCACCTGGCCTTATAACTGCCGTTGAACTGTCAAATGAGCCCTGCTGGTAAAATTGTTATTGGCAAGGATTTCTGTTCTCCTTTCATCCAGAAAATTCCAAAAGACCTCACGAAATGCTCAAGTGAGGAGATAGGAGAAGGGAATTACTGTGATGTGCATCCTCTTAAGGATGAGAAACCAAAACCTTGCCCTGACTTTGGTGTATTTGCAGTAGGTAAACTGCTTTCAAGGAAAGGAGGGGTCAGTGCTCCCCAAGTAATCAAAGGTCAAAAGGTCAGGGGTGAAGGCTGTGGAACTGCCTGACCTGCGGTCAGAAAAGGACCCACAGTCAGAAAACGACTGGGATGTCAGCCCTTTCCTGCAAGTTACCATGACTGTGTGTCAACAGGTGTAACACAGAGGCACAGCAGAGCCCACAGGATCCTGGCCACAGCACCCAGGAGGCCCCATCGACCTCATCCAGCACAGCTGGGAGTTCTGTGCCAGGTAGGGCAGTCTGCCGGGTCGGACTGCTGGCCCTGCCTGTGGGGAAAGATGAAACCGAGTCTTGCCTCGTCATCATCTGGTCATGTCTGTCCTGGCTGCCCTTCCTCCTCGGGCCTGTGTGTTTTCACTTGCATGTGGGTAGACTCCATGTGTGTCACTGCCCTTCCCTGGCTTAGAGGAAATTCTGGGACCAAATTGAAACACGAAAGGGAAGAGCTGGGTGTGTCAAGGACGGTGGTCCTGAGGCAAACACTCCCCGCAGGACTGAACTGGGCCCAGGATGGTGACTGACAATGCTAGCCCACTTGCAGCCCCTCAGGAAATACAAGCAGCTGTGAGGGGTGGTGGACAGGCCACTGGGCTGCATACAAGGTGGGTCGGTTGCTAGTGTTTTAAGTTGGATTTTATTTCTTTTGACTAAAGATCTACCAGGGTATTACTTTGACCCTGAAAAGAATCGCTACTTCCGCCTGCTCCCTGGACATAACGCCTGCAACCCCCTCACGAAGGAGAGCATCCAGCAGAAGGAAATGGAGCGCAAAAGGCTGCAACTGCTAGAAGAAGAGGACAAGCAGAAAAAGGTGGGCTCCACACTCCTGGTGGCCGCCCTGTCCCCTGCACTCCTGCCAGCCTCCACCCACTGCTGAAAGCGGGTGCCAATTAAACGCCCTGTGACACTCAGGATAGTGCACTGTAGGGAGTGTGGTGTTGACTTTTCCCTGACGGGAACCTGATGAAGAGAGTAAGAACAAGCAAGAAATCTCCCCCCCCCCTTTTCCTGCTTACTAAGTTTCATCGGTAATTCTAACATTTTCTCCTTCCCTGGGGGTTTCTTGAAAAGCAGCGTGATACAGTTTCAGTAACTGTATATTTTAAATAGAAAACCAGGGTATGTGGTTTGGACATGAGGGTCTCTTGTATTGCTTCTGGGGATTAGATGCCAGGACATTTTGATGGTTAAGGGGGCAACAGAATGGAAAGTCCAGGCCTCAGGGTCTCACCATAGTCGAGTGGAAAGCACGATGCAGACCCAAGTGTCCAGTGCCATTCCTGTACTCACTAGCTTTGTGGCTTCTTCTACCCAGGTATAAATCGATGGGGAGCTCGGACAGAGGCGTTGAGCAGACTTGCCAGCTCACACATACTTCCTTGTGATGTTTTCTTTTCTCTTGCCAAGCAGAGTAGCCAAGGAGACAGTCTATTTTTATGCATATAATTTCTGCCAGCTTAGTACCTGTTTCTTCATTGCATCCTATGAAACGAAAAACATTCTCCATTATCCCATAATATAAAACTTCACTGAATCTATCTTTTTTTTTTTTTAATTTAGAAACTAGCCAGGATGGGATTTAATGCATCTTCCTTACTACAAAAAAGTAAGCTGGGTTTTCTCAACACCACCAGTTATTGCCGGTAAGTCAATGTCTCGCCGTTATGTTTTCTTCATGAATGTTCTTTTCCTATTTTATTTCCATGGTTCAGAATCCAGTCAAGAACCCATATAGGTATTTTGTGAGGAGTCTTCACGATTGAGGTACTCCAGCTCACAGCCTGCCTTCTGCTGCTGAAACCAGCCCTGAGAGAATCATTTTCCCTCTAGAACAAAGGGGGGACTCCTGTAGGAGGTCAGGGAGACAAGAGAGGGGATCTAGGCAGAGAAATTAGGCAGGCATTTCTCAGGATGTTCCCTCTGTTACTCTGTGCCAGGTAAGGCAGTTAAATCATGTTTAGTGGTAGGTCTTATAACTTCATTCCTGGAAGATTTCTGCCTTCTTTTCTTCTTATCTAATGAGTTGTCACCAAAAATGGAGCATTAAATGGATATATGTGTACTAAACTTTATCTAAATACTTGTGATTCCTGATATAATTCTTAACTAAAACCTTGTAAGATAGGTTGATACTTCCCCCGGTTTCCAGAAGAGACTGAGGCTCAGAGTGGAGTGATTTTCTCAAGGAAAAGCTAGCAAGAATGGGATCTGCTTGACTCCAGTGCCTGAGCCCCTAATTCTCGTGTTCTGTTGCCTCCCGCTGTGTGTGGGCAGGTGAAGAAACAACATTAGTCGGGGCAGTTTACAGGGGACATAGCTGCCTCATTTTGGAGCAGGGCTGCCTTCAGGGTAGGCCAGCCATGCAGGAGGGATGGCAGGGGCGTGTCGCTCCTTTACTTCCCTAAAGTAGTTACAGGTCTAGTTCAAAAGATGTGTCCTTTACCCTAAAACAAGCTTTGTCCTTAGTGGAGACCAAGCGTGGTGTGGAGCAGGAAAGGGATGGCAAGTTGAACGCTGCACGCCTGGGCTCTGTTCATTAGCTGTGTGTCTTGCACGTTTCATCTGTCGGGCACCTGCTCTTGGTCTCGAGAGAAAGAGTTGTCCTAGAGGATCCAAAACCAAATTCCTCCAGCTCTAACTTCCTTTGACTCTGTGACTGGGCCACCCGTTTCTTTTCTTTAGTTTACCTGAGTTCTAAAATTGCATTTATTTGGGATCTTGTTCAGTTCCATTGCTGAGAAATAATATGAAGAAGGCCGACTAGGGGAGATGGTCTCCAGGGTGTTGGACAGGGTAGAACCCCCGAACCTTCTCATGGGTACTTAGGTATGGCAACCGTGCCCTCCCTGCCCCTCTCTTTCCCTTCTGCAGTTTAGCCCATGAGCTTCGAGTGAGCTGCATGCAGAGGAAGAAGGTCCAAATTCACAGCTCGGATCCCTCCGCTTTGGCGAACAACCAATTTAACCTCATACTGGTGAGTGGAAGGGAGCTATCTGTGGATGCCAAAGGTATGGCTGCCATCTCCTGACACTTCATGGCTTAGCATTGGCTTCCATCAAGCCTGGCTGTGTAGATGCCAGTTGCATGAAAGCAGGCGGTGTCCTCTAGGTTTTATGGTTTTAACAAGTACCTACCGGCTACCTATTGGCAGGTGCCACACCAGCAGGGCAGGCCATGGTGACCTTTGTCACCCCTACTATAGCTGTCATTTGACATGAGAGCCAGGGCCCACCACACATTGACTGAGAACTATCACAGAGTAACTTGCCCTTGGGTGTGTTGTGTACACAATCAAAAGGGTACACAGTGGACCTGGGGGCTTCTCATCCTCACACTGGGCAGGATCTGGTGAGCAAGCCTGAAGCTCCAGTTCTTCAGTAGCAGCAGCGTGTCACTCCCCTGCTTGCTGTCCCTGACTGAGTGGCACATCTGGGCCTGCACACCCACCACACCTTCATCACGCCATTTGCAGGGAGCAGAAAGTCTCTGCTTTTGGTTACACCCAGGCTGCAAGCCAGGGCCAACTACTTGAGCCCAAGGGCCAGGGAAGTGTTGGCAGCAGGTCCCTGTACACAGAAGCCAGACCACTCAGCTAGGCTGGGAACTCGAGACCACAGGAGAGCGTGGCCTGCACAGCAAGCCCTGCCCTTCCCAGAGGCCTGCTGACAGGACTGGGGCTGAAGCTGCAGAACTGGTCCTTGACATCCTGCCCAGGAGACCTCAAAAGCAGAGCCCTTCCTCATAAGGGGTACTGGGGGCCAGGACTCACATTCTCTCCTGTGGCTTTACCCCCATACGTGTTTGGGGATAGTCGACCTGAATACTTTCTTGCAGTGGGTTCCTCTCAGGAGCCCTTTGCCTGTGACTCTTCAGTAAAGGGGCTGGTGGGTGGGGGCATGGCAGCAGAGGTCACTGTGCACATGCTGCTTAGTGCAGCCTGAACTCCCGGGTCCTCACACTTGGTCTCACACAAGCTGTGGGCTGGCCCTTGGGCGACCTTCCCCATCACCCAGAGTTATGATAACCGGCTGACTGGTGTGGCCCGAGGGTTGGGAAGGACGGTTGGTAATAATTCTTCCCAAGTAAACTTGGAAAGTGAGTGCCTTTTCACCAGCATCCAAACTCGTATGTATGTGTATATATTTATAGATATATATAAAACATAACTATATAGTTTTTGCTTTGAAATAATTATTAATCACATTTTTTTAATGAAAAATCTTAAGAACCTACATCCCAATGCAGTCTCTTCTATTGTAATTTTTTCTCAGCGTAGCATCTTTTTTTTCCTTAGTGGTAATTATGGTGCCTATGTAATGGGAATACAATTTTATATCCCCCTTTTATCCCTTGAACATTTTCACTAGCATTCATGTTGCTCTGTGGCTTTCATGATGGCCCTTTGCTCTGTTACCACGTGTCTCATCTGAATAGTTCCGCTGGGTAGACATTAAGACTCTTCCAAACCCAGTTCTGAGTGGGGTCACTGCAGACCTCAGACTTCTTGCCACACCTCCTCATTGTCATCCTTGTCCTTGCTCCTGAATTGTGAGACCAGACACCTTTTAGCTTTGCCCAACTATGGCTACGCCAAGTAGGGGCAAGTTAGGTCATCTCCACGTTTCCTCATGGACAGGAGCTCTCATCTGGTGAAAACTTACAGAGCACGGGGGCTGGAAGATGTGGGCAGGTGGTCTTAGGCCTGGGAGGTCACCTACAATCCACTTGCCTTCTCCAGGCGGATACCAACAGTGAGCGGCTCTTCACAGTGAATGATGTCAGAGTGGGAGGCTCCAAGTATGGCATCATCAGCCTGCGCGATCTGAAGACCCCCACACTCAGGGTGCATATGCACGAAAACCTCTACTTCACCAACCGGAAGGTACTCGGCCCTTCTCTTTGGTCTTGCAGCCCGCTTTGGGTCTAGGGCCACTGCAGCGGTTGGCCAAATTAAGAATAGAGGAGAGAACTTTGTGAAGAAGGCAATACTTGGTTACCTCATTTTCCTAAGGGAAAAATTGAGTTTTAGATCCTGAGAACCCAAAGGGGAAGAAAAGGGCCTCCTGCGTTTGTTGTCTTGGAGGAGGAATGACTTTAGGTGGGGGAAGGCTTGAAGCAGTGGTTCTTTAACTGGTTGTAAGGAACTTCCGTTCAAGAGGATCGAGTTAAGCTGAAGGAGCCCACACCAAGGCACAGAGTTTCTGGGAGGTGGGCTGCAGTAGCCTGGGTGGAGGGTCCTCCCAGTGCGTCAGGACGATGCGTCAGTCACTCAGACAGTTTTTGCCTGACACTGAGGTTTACATTAAGTATGAGGAGCTTGCTGCCTAGGGGGAACCTTTAAATTGCAGTGGAGTGACAACTGCATCTGTAAGAAGCTATGAGTTTCTGTTCTGTTGGGATATGAGCCATGAGATGGATACAGGTTGAAGACGGTTTCTGGGTCAAGTGAGATCCAGTACACCTTTAGAGTTAGATTTGTTTCCGGCATTGCAGGGAAGTCATCCCCACCCTGGAGGGTAGACCAGATGTCTCACTATGAGGCTCATGCTGACGATGAAGGACTGAGGCCTGGGGGCTGCTTCCTCCCTGTCCCTCTTCAAGGCTCTATGCGTTTGGGCAAGGAACTTCCCTGTTCTCAGAGTGCTTGTTGCAGCACCTTTTAAAGGAGCGAGACCTAGAGAAAGAAGCCATATGTCTATATCCCCACAAGTTATTCCACAGAAAAGCATTTGCCTATTTCTCTCCATGGGTTGGCAGTCAGACCAATCTTTCTGTCTTGCTGTATGCTTCCTCACCAGGTGAACTCTGTGTGCTGGGCCTCGCTGAATGACTTGGATTCTCACGTTCTGTATCTTTTGGCAGATGAAGGGGTTTGGCGGGCAGGCCATGCCCTGATGTGGAAGGGCATCTGTGAGGTTTGTGAGGTGGCATCTTAGTGGTCAGAGGTCTGGGCCATTCTGCACGCACCCTCACACATTCAGAAAGAGCAGTGCACATGGGCAGAAAACAAGGCCTCTTCCCATGGATCATAGGGAAGTAGTTGAGGTCCTGGGATGACGCTGGGATGGGGCACTGTGTGCCGGACACTGCTCTGGAACTTGACAGTTGGTGCTTTGGCAGAGACATAAAGCAGTAAGGCGCAGTAAAACCCTGGGAAGGAACCCCAAGTCCTGAAGTGAAGGAGGAGCCAAGAGCTGCAGTGGTCCCAGGGCGGGGTGGGTCTCCTGGGGGAGGCTGACGGCAGGCACCAGGAAAGGGGCTCCTTTGGCGAGTGACATGGGTTGTGGGCCCTGGGCCTCGGGTTCCTGCCAGAGGTGGCCTTCCGAGCATTCTTCATTGCAGTCTCTGCCTTCCCAGGGAGCCATAGCTGCGAGCACAGTAGAGTAGTGTCAGGGTAGCTGGGCCTGGGGGATGTTGATGATGCACAGGACACCTGTCCATCACGAGCTTCAGGGGAGGAGATTGTTTGACCCAGAGCCACATGTTAATGAGTCTTGTCTTGGTTCATTTCGGTAATAAATGAGTTCGTGAAATTATGACTATGTACCAAACACCTACTTCCATGAGTCGTCATGAGGTTAACAGTTAACATCTGTGAATGCACGTAGCACAATGCTTGGCATGTCATGGGTCCTCGACAGATGGCGGAATCAGAACCTGTGTTTTTCATTTGTTCCACAGCACTCTATTTCAGAGGGTTTTAAAGCCTAAATTGGAGATCTATTTATAAATTTTAGGTAAGACAAACACAACACTGTGTGTTCTGTAAACTGGAAGTTTTAGGCGGCTTTCTTTGGGTGGAATCCTGTGGGCTGATGGGACCACCTGTTACTGTGATGATCTTACCAGAGGACAGAAGAGACCAAGTCTTAGAAGAGAGAAAACAATAACCTCACTCTCATTTCTGAACCTAAAACAACGTGGCGTTTTTTCATTTTCCTGTGGGCTGTGAAGATAGAAACCCTTATACTTGGGTTTAAAGACTATGAAGAGTGTGCTGCTTGTAGCTTGACCAGCAGCTTGTCCTCTGGTGGTCATTTCAGGTCATCTTCAGGTTTTTTTTGCACCTGCTGCTTCTGAAGATCATGGAACTTTCTCCCTTTACAAAAATAGCACCTGTTCAGACCTGCATTCTGTGCTTTTTTCCCCCAAAAGAATGGTGGGAGGTTAGACTGAATTCTTTTCTACACTTACTGGGCTTTTCATTAACCTTCAGCCCGCTAAAGGATTAAGTCTAAAGTACTGGCCCTGTAAGTATGCAGAGTGTGACTGTAGCCTGGGTTTTAGCCGCACACCACACATTCAGACTGTCAAGAATGATGCATAATAATTCTGCAAGTATTTACATTTTCAGTGAGGTATGGGCATGTCCATTCCACCAGCCTTTACTGAGCATGTAATCCCTGTGCAAAGTGCTGCAGATGGGCAGTTTAGCCGGTGACTAGCCTGTGGAGTGATTGTGGGGCAGTTGGATGCAAGAGGGATGCAGGGATTGCGGCAGCCTTCCTGGAAGTGATTCCTACATGGGAAAGAGGGGACAGAGCTCCCAGAGAAGGAAGAGTCCAGAGAGAGCTTGGCATGTTGGGCAGCATTATGTGGTCTGGTATCTGTGCTGTCTCTGACTAAGTAGGGCTTTGCAAGACAGAATCCTCAGGGATGTCAGATGCTCCTGGAAGATGGTGGGTGTGGAGTCATTTCTTTTTTTTTCTTAAGATTTTATTGGGGAATTGGGGGAGGGGAACAGCATTGGGGAATCAGGGAAGGGGAACAGACAAGTTGCTGTCCTTTGGTTCTTCAGTCTAGTTGTGGAGGACGTCACTTCACTGGCCCATGTTGGTATCATGATCATTGCGCTCTTCCCGGGTGAGGCAGTTGGTCGTTGGCCATTGGACAGCTGCTCATGGCAACTCACAGCAGCTCTCGCCGGCCACTCATGCTGGCTGCCAGCCACTCACGATAGCTCACGGCAGCCCACTGCAGCCTACGCTGTCGCCAGCCACTCAAAGCAGCCCAACTCCAGGTTGAGCTGTTGTTCACCATCTTAGCTGTAGAGGGCGCAATGTCACTGGCCCATGCGGGACCCAAACTGGCGGCCCTGCTGCTCAGAGCGTGTGGTTCCAAGCCAACTCTTAACCAACTGAGCCAGTCGGCCAGCCCGTGGAGTCATCTCTTATATAGCAGTGCAGGCTGGCATCGGTGAACTCTCAAACAGAAGGCCCCTGCAGGACTGAGCAGGCAGTACAGGAGAAGCACAAGTCTAGGAGGCTGGGAATCTCGACCAGGGAATCTTGGCAGTAGGAGAAAGTCCAAGGATGGAACTCCAAGAGAGGGGTGTTTTGGAGGCCAAGAAGGAGTATGTGTTAGAAATCGTGCTGCAGGACCAGGGGCCAAGACTGGAAGGTGTTCATCAGAGTTATAAACTAGGGGCTCATTGAAGACCTTGGGGAGAACATTTCACTGGAAAGGTGACTCATACGTAGAGTTCCATGGGTTGAAGAGGGAAAGAAAGGCAAGGAAGTGGGGATAAACAGGTTCTTCCTGAGAAAATTTTGGCTGTGAAGGAGAAGAGAGGAACGAAATCAGTCAGAAGACAGTTCAGTAGGAAAGTAGGCAAAGACTATAGAGACAATTAAAAAAGGAAACCCAATGACTATAATCAGATAATACACCCAGTTGTAGTCAGGAAAATGCAAATTTAAATAATAACGAGATGTCATTTTTATACCTATTCACGCAAGCACAAATTTTAAAAGTCTGATGGTGCCAATGTTTGGCAAATGCAGAGAATGGGAAAAACTGGTATAAGCACACTGATAGGACCGCTTTCAGTTGAAGATGCGTGACCCTTAACCAGCCCTCAGTTCCACTCTAGATGTAGTCATCGGAGCAGAGTTTTCAAACTGCGAGTCATAACCTGTCAGTGAGCCATTAAATCAGTTTGTCAACAGCATTTTTTGAATGAAATAGACTATAAGACATCAGAGTTTCATCCTTAGGGCAGATATTTTATCAAACTTTTTTCAAATATTTGTATGTATATAGCACATTGTAGTGTAAAATTAAGTTCTCACCACGGGTTTAAGAAACACTGCCTTAGAAAAGCCTCCCACACATGGGTGTAGGAGACAGGAAGATGCTTATTCCAGCAGCAAGCCAAAAAAAAAAAACAACAACCTAAGTGCCCATCAGCAGATTGGATAAATAAATTGTGATATATTTATATGAAAGAATGCTCCATGGTGAAAATGTAGGAAACGGGCTACAAACATCAATACAGATGCATCTAGAAGACAATGGAGATTGAAAAGTTGTAGAAGATACTCTGTGTGATGCCATTTACATATGTTTTTTATTTTTTTTAATTTTTATTTATTTTAAAGAGTTTTTGGGGGAATTGGGGAAGGGGAATAGTGTTGGAGAATTGAGGAAGGCCTGCTGGCAGCTCGTGTCTGCTCAGCTCAAGGTGCCGTGTGCAGGAGTAAAACTGGAAACCTTGTTAGGAGCATGTGCTCTTACCAACTGAGCCATCCTGCCACCTGTTGGCAGCTCACCTTGGGCGCTGGCCCATGTGGGAATCGAACCGGAGACTCTGTTGCTCAGAGCTCATGCTCTTAACCAACTGGGCTACTTGGTTGGCCCTACATATGTTTTTTAAACATAAACAATTTTTTTTTTTTTAAGATTTTATTGGGGAATTGGGGAAGGGGACCAGCCAAGTTGTTGTTCTTCAGTCTTCATTGTGGAGGGTGCCAGTCACCATCTGGCTTCCCATTGGCCGCTGGTGGCCTCTAAGCTCAAGGTGCTGTGTTCAATCTTAGTTGCGGGTGGGCGTAGCCACCATCCCAGCAAGAAGGTTGAACCAGCAGCCTTGTTAAGAGCGCATGCTCGGGGCCGGCCTAGTGGCGCAATGGTTAAGAACTGGCTTGGGACGCCAAAAGGCCCCGGTTCGGATCCCACATATGAGGGCCAGTAACACTGCCCTCCACAGCTTTGATGCTGAACAACAGCTCAACCTGGAGCTGGGCTGCTGTGAGTCGCCGGCGATGGCTAGGCTGCAGCCCCTGCTGCAGTGGGTTGCCTTGGGCTACCGTGGGTAGCCAGCAGCCAGCAGCCAGCGTGAGCAGCTGTCCAGAAGCAGGCGACTGATCTGCCTCGCCCGGGAAGAGCGCAATGATGGTGCCAAGTTGGGCCAGTGAAGCAACGTCCTCCACAACTAGACTGAAG